CCAGCCCCCCTCCGGAGTCAGTTGCCTACAGAACACCGTAAGATCCACTGTTTCGCCATGATTAGAGCAGTCCTCCTCTCCGCTCTTCTTGCCGGAGCTATGGCCGGTAAATATAGTTTTTAATCACAAACTTTTTTATTTGAAAACTTAATCTTTCAGTTCTAATGTAGCAGAGGTAAAAAAACCGAATTTTCGATAACAACTGAAATCCTTTGTTAAACTTGGGTTCGGAGATTGTACAAGCGGAGTGTATTCATCCTGACTCAGGGTGCTACTCATACACTGGATTCCTCAGATTTATTTTATCTTCATTCTTAACAACTCTTTAAACTTGACTCTACACTTTTATTTATCTAGATAGTATTTAGAAAGCAAATTCCCTCCTATCTTCGTCAATATTCCCCCCCTCCCACGCTATTAATCCCCATCCTATATTACCTCTTTTTGTTAACTAGGTTCATTTCAACCATTTGATTCTCATTTATCTGATAACTAGGTTAACTTCTAAATTATTCAACTAGTATTGACTAAAGATCATTTTACATCAAGGATTTAGATTATTTATAGTAATAATATATATATATATATTTATTATATTTCAGTTTTTAACTTCACATTTTTATTAAAAAACGAAGAAATAAAAATAAAAAAAAAGAAGAATATTTATTATATATATATAGATATTTATAGAGAGAGAGGGATTATCTTTGTTTGTCCGATCAAAACTTAGAAACCCCTTTATCGGTTTGCCTCAAATTTTTATTGGTAACTTGGAATTACCACGGAAATTTTTTTAGCTTGTAGGTTATAGTAAAGCGAGATACAGCTGATGATATCCAGGAGAGTTTATAAATATTGTATATATTGTAGGTCTAGTAAAGAGAGATACAGCTAATGATATCCAGGAGTGTTTATAAATATTGTATATATTGTAGGTCTAGTAAAGAGAGATACAGCTGATGATATCCAGGAGAGTTTAGGGAATATGTTCAATTCTAACAAGAATCCATCCCTAGATGATTTCCAGGTATTACATTTTACTACTCTAACCTACGCATTTCTGACTCTAAAAGGATCAGAGCTGGGAACTTTTGAATGGTGGATATCGGGATTAAGGCTTGATCCACTCTTTTTCTTAATCTCGAGATTAAATAATGCTTTTTCTCCTCTTGTTATTAATCTCCAGGATATCCCATTCTAAAGTTTTCAGCTCTGGTCAGTGATTACTCGCTACTAATCAGAATCATTTCACTGAATTAATGATTTAATAACTAACTAGTTAAGTTATTTGCTTTATTACACTATCTAATTCATTTAAGTATTGCAATAATGTCGTCTTCCTATTATACAGATTTTTAGTCATTGCTGTGTAAGGATTAGAAAATCAGAGTGTATGGCAAGTAATCAGTTACTTTATTAGGATTTTGTCAAATACTATGTTAAAACTATAGCTATGAATAAGTGTTTTTAACTTTAAAATCTTCATTTCCAGGGCTGGTAAAAATAACGCTTTCAACTTTAAAATTTCCCTTAATTCTAGGGACAAAAGCAAAATACGGGTTGGGAAGGTCAAAACTTTAAGTTTAAAGGTTTAGCGACACTTCAAGGGATGTCCAGTCTCAATAGTTTAAGCATATCTTTTTGAGCTGTGTAGATCGCAATGACAGGTCGTATTACAGAACAGCCGTTAGTATTTTTCGAAAAAATGAGAAAATGTCAGGAATCTCACAAAATTGTTATATCTCTAGACTCTATCACCCTATTGGTTAGTAGATATGTCAAACAGAATAATTATAATTTTGAATTTTTTTTTTGACAAGTTTAATATTACGAACGAAATATAAAGATGATTAAATGATGGGGGGGGGGGGCACGTAGAACTAACCACAACGATCAAAGTGCATCCTGTCATATCAGAATCAGAATAATTTCAGTCTTATTTTGAGGTCTCATTCAAAATCCGTCTAAAAAAGCGGAATCGACTTTTTACTTAAAAACTTTGATGAATACTTATAGCTCAACAAAAAAGTATATAAAAACCAATACGAAAAATCTACTTTTATAGGATGAAAATGGATTCTAAAGTATAGACGCAATGGACTTTTAATCAGGACCTGTGTTGCACTCTCCACTAAACCCCACTATTTCTTTGGTCAGAGTACTGCAAATTACTGCAGAAGACCGAAGGCTTAGTTGAGGGTGCGTGGGGGGTAGGCACGACAGTTTATTAGAATTCTCGTCATTTCAAAGTGTCCCTGCACACACTGTAAATCATTTTCACACAATTCCGCGAAATTGTTTTAACAAAATTTAGGACTTTTGTTAAACTAAAATAAATAAAAATAAAAAAGGAATCGTTTTTTAAAACCCGTATTTTTGGCGTTTACAACCCGTTGAAATAGTAAAAAATCTTTTGTTTTATTTTAAAACGTTTAGACATTTTCTTATTTTCAATAAAATTCTTTTTGTTCAAATGTATATAATGCAAGATTTTAATTGACAAAGAACTAAAACTCTTAAACTCAAGGTTTTAATAAAAATGCTGCCATAGATAGATATATCAATAGGTTTTGGTTTGATCAGAAATTCTCAAGCTTTCAAAAACATTCATTGTCTCAGAAAATCGAAACAGTGAGTTTGAAATATTTTAGTTTACATTTACAAAACTTGTTTTTCCATATAATGATAACATCATTCATCAATCTGCAAATTAAAGCACATTATAAATTGTGAAACATTTTTTTCTATTTTTTTGTATGAAGTTTTAAATAATAAAATATACTAGAAAAGTTCAAATAAGTTTCTAATTAGCTTCTTCTGTTTTATTTCATTACAGAAAAGTTTTATCATTTCGGGCAGATAGAACATTTAAATTTTTTAACTTTCCCGAGAAATACTTTCTGTCATTCTCATGAATGCTATGATTGGAATTTTGTTTTAAATTTTCAAATACCAAAGACAATATAGAGAAAGCATTTCTTTCATAATATTTTACTAAAAACAATCGTTAATCGTGTTTAAAGAGAGTTGGGGTTTTACAGGAGAGTTGTGGAATCGTGATTGACTATCAATCTATCAATCTATCAATCTATCTATCAATCAATTTATCTATCAACTTAGCAAAGTTTGTCCATCTGTTTTTCTCTGATCGAAAGTTAGTCTTCAAATGTTTTGATAGCTTCGAGTAACCGGGTAGGGTACAAGGAATTTGAGAAAAAATTCTTATCCTTAAACATGATACATACATAAGTTTGGCGGGGTTTCTAAGTTTTACCAATATTTTTTAGCTTTATAAATATATTATGACTCTTATATATTTTAGGAGGGTGGACTATGCATCACAGACAGTCAATGTGTAGAACACCTTCAGTTCTGCAATAGGGAGAACCCTCTCAACATGCATTGTCAATATGTGGTAAGTCAAATTATCTCCCCCCCCCCCCAGGTGGCAGGAACCCCTCTACCCTTAATTCTCCAAAAAAACTTTAAAAACACTGCAGAATCTCTATAGAATTAACATTTCTAAAAATTTGGGAACTTGTTCAATTTTTATAACTAATTTAATACGATGAATGATGAAATGACCGATTAAAAGATTAAGATTCATGAGAATTTGAATGGGCGATTCAGGATTTGAGCGTAGAAAGTTCAGCGACCTCTTTAATTCATTAAATTCGGTCCCAGGTTTTTTATTTTAAACTATTTGCCCCATCTGCTAGATTAAATCAAAGTTTAGATATGAAAGGTTCGTACCATGTATCAGGTTGCAAAGATAAAGGAACGAGCTATGTATTTCGATTCCTTAATAAATCAATATATGTTTATAGGTGTGGGTGTGGGTAGGAGTAGGAGTACTAGGAGCTGTACTGCTCTTGACTGTCCTCGGATCCTGTTTCTGCTGCTCCTGCTGCTGCCTCAGCTCTCTGTGCAGGAAGAAGTAAACACGACTCTAACACGTGTTTTGAAAATATCTTAAACACAAGTTCTCAAAAAAATAATGAAAAAAAATAAGTTTTCCAAAACAAAAGTTTCACAAAATCTTTTTATTCATTTAAATATGCCAAAAGTGCTTTTTCTAAGATTCAATGTATAAAAAATGTCGAATGACGATGAAAAAATTGAGCTGGGGGGGGGGGAAGGGAGGTTTTTTATAAGGGGCGGGGGATTGAGCCCCTTCGAATGTTTGTGGAAACGGGTTGATCAAGATTGGGTGATATTCAATAAGATATTGTAATTTTAAAGTTTCTCTTTTATATTTAAGAAAGAAAATTGTTAAATTTTTTCTGAAGTTATAAATGTTAGTATCTATATAGCTTGCTTCTTAGTAAATAAATTGTGCATTGTGAAACGATTTTTTTTAACAAGTTAAGATGACATTAAATCAAACAATAAAAATTCTTTCAAAAGATTTAGAAATGTTTATAACCAATATTATTTCCCTTTTCACAGTGCACAATATTATTTGATAGATTACATTTTATATTTACATTTTCATGCGATTTTTACAATTTTCTGCCACAAGGATTTTTATAGAAAATTCGTTTTGATAAAAATTGGAAAAAAATTGCTTTGCGAAACAAAAGCTATAAGGATATTTTTCATGGATAAAAATGTATTACTTATTTTCAAACAATTTTTAATTGAAATAAGTGTTGAATTTTTTGTTTACCAGTATTTAAAGACATATTTAACAATAGCAAAATTGGAAATCCTGAAATACAATATTTTTGCTAATTTATATTTAATGAATTCATGAATTACTATAAACATGATATTTATTCTGTAGAATTCTGTGACAAACTTTATTTATGTAGCAATTCACAACATATGTAATAATTTAAATAAAAATAAATAGTTGTAAACAATCTTTCTATTTAGTTTATAGTTATACGTAACTTTACTTTCAGCTGTATTGAATTATTTTCAATATAGCTAAAATTGTATATTTGTGATAATTATAGCTTAAACTTTACTTGCATTTATGTGTTCTTCGTTAAACATCAAAAAAGAATACCAAGTACAAATTTTGAGGATTTTTTTTGTTTTTGTTTGCGGATTTCCAAATTTTTTTGAAATACCTTGGTTGCAAACGTGTTTAATGCAGGCAAGCCCTCAACCTTTCCTTTCAATATTACTGAGGCCGGTGTCATGCCTGCAGAGAACTCGTACCTGCAGCTGACTCTGGTTATGCACGCGGCAAAGCGCAAGTTTCTGGAAATGTATACAAACAAGAATAATTTAATTTATTGGAGTTTACGGCTAATTTTCNTATTTATATATGACGTATATTTAATACCAGAAAAATGGATTTCTCCAAATGGGCATTTCACCGTCAATTGGTCTGAATTACGATTTTTGGGACTATATAATCAGAAAATTTAAGATTGAATCATTTTGTTAAATTGAATACGACGTATAAAAAAATGTTCCGAGTATAATGTGTTTGTTTTGGCGCTAAAAACTTGGAGATAAGATATGGGACGAGCTGTGAATACGATAAATAATTTTTTAGTTGATGCATTTTTTACCAAATAAGAATATCATCGTTTTCTTTATTTACCTGGGGAACAGTGTTGACGTTAACAGGACCAGGAGACACGAATATATCCCACCATTTTTATACATAGTTAAAAGATCCAAAGTGTCGTAGTATGGAAGTAGCGTAGAGCCGATGTAGTATGACGGTAATGTTACATCGCCTATACGCAATTGCCCTACTGAACTTCCGACCTACTAACTTTCCGACCTACTGCAATATCGGACCTACGCCAGCTGTTTATTTTTGTATTATTTGAGGGTTAGGTTAGGTTAAGACAATTTCTTGGCCGAGCGCTGCGGCTAGGTCTGCAGGCTAGGGGGCCGAGCGCCGCGGCTAGGACAGGCTAGGGGGCCGGGCGCTGCGGCCACATGTCCATATCGCAGCTGTAAAACCACGTGCTACTAGGTCGGATGTGTTGTATAGCGGATTTGGCGTAGGTCAGAAGAGGAGTATAGCGGATATGTGTAGGTCGAAAAATACACCACCAGTATGACCGCTTCTAAATTGCAATCAACCAATCAATTGGTCTAAAAAATAATAGTCCGCGGCATTTTTGCTGACATTGCGCTCGGAGCAAGTAATAGTGCCTGCCTGATTCCGATTTTGACATAGCTTAAGATTATGCAGTGCACTGTAGCAAGATTTAAAGCAAATGCAGATTATCCAAGGAGGATGTTACGGGTCTTTCCTAGTAAACGATTTTTGGACCCCCCCAGGCCCCCCCTCCTATCAATTTTGTACATAACGACGCGAAATTAGTAAATTAGTATTTATTTATTATTATTTAGGGTTAGGTTAGGTTAAGACACTTTCTGGGCCGAGCGCTGCGACTAGGATGGGCTAGGGGGCCGAGCGCTGCGGCCACGGGTTAGGTTAAGTTAAGAGACTCTCTGTAAGATGCGCTGTGGCTAGGACAGGCTAGGGGACCGAGCGTTGCGGCCATATGGTCAATTATATCCATGTCTTACATATAAGCTCCACGTACAAAATTTATAAAAGGGGGGGGGGTCCAAAAATCGTTCTCCAGGAATATACCGGTTGTTACTTTAATGAAGATCAGGCACTTTATTAATCTATCGATCTTAAGGCTCAAGTTGATCTTTGACACATACAGACTTTATTGTCAATTGGTTAGACACAAGTTTTTAGCTTAATGTAACCAATAATCTATATAATATAGCTCTTCGCTCATATGTATTTATTTAAACGTTAGCTATAGCTGCCCAAACGTCTGTTCTAAATTGGCTGACATTTTTTGAGTGAACCATTCGGTACCCTGGGGGATAACATATAGGCATTTTGTAGTGTGCAAGCTTTATAAGTTATTAATCAATCAACTGGTAAAAATATTTGCCTTTTACCAACCTCAAATTTTGCGTAAATTTCGTCTTATAATTAAAATAAAATTTTATATTTCTTAACTTAAACCATAAGTATTTTCAGATTAAAAGGTTGAGGATGTTGTTTGGTAGATAGAATGAGTAGTGGTAGTAGGTATAACTGGAATTAAAATCTATATATAAATTTGGCTTGTCTGTTTGTTTGTTTGTTTGTATCCAATAAACGTCAAAACGGCTGAACCGATCGGGCCCAATTTTTTATTGGGACATCTAGGGACCCCAGGGAAGGTTTATGAATGATCAAAATTTCAAATATTTTTCTCCATCAAAATTCGATCTTCATTAAATTTTTGAAAATTTTTAAAATCCACGAAATTTTTTGTGATTATCCGCGAATTATTTTTGTTTTGTTTTACGATGTACACAAAGAGAACATGTTCACAATTAATTTAGAAGATGGGCGCGAAGCGCCCTCTAAGGCTAGTATTAATATAAAATTCCATCGTTTTTATCATTTTGAACAACTTTTACGCTAATAATTAATTTTTTTAATGAAGGAATCCAGCAGCTGAGGCTTTTAAGATTTGGACCAGACTCTTTAATCATCGACCTTTCCTGAAGGTAGGGAAAAAAACTGTTAATGGGACTATATGCGTAATTTCAAGTTATTATTAATCAAATAAAGGTTTAAATGGTACCATCGTAGATCGGGAATTGCCATCCTTGCATGGAGGGTCAGTTGAAACTACGCAAACAGTCTATTTAAAGAAAATAAATATGTTAAAAAGCTGAATTGTTTTTTATTTAATTCCCTTGAATGTTTCATATTTCTGAAAATAAATAACTTTCAAATTTCTATTATTTAGTTTTATCAACCCTATTTTTAAAACACACAACTAGGTTCTCTATTTTCATTGATTTGACAATTTTCTAATTCCGAAAAAAGAGGGGGATGGGGGTAGAGTTGAATGCCCAGCGACGCAATTTTCCTGAGGGGCGTCCTAATAACATACTTTGGGGGACCATAACATGACCGCTAGATGTCTCAAGTAAGATTCTTATTAGAAAGATAATTAGGAAGCACCAGGTGGAAACTTTATCTGGTTCACCATTGTAGTATTTATAAAGAACCAGATCTGAAAATTCTCTTTAATGTTGCAGGGAGAGGTTGAGTACTTTGTCAAGAATTTTCAAGACAAGCGCGGGGATCGTGAGATAGAGAATATTTTTGCCGTGCTTGAGCGCGTTTCAGAGCTCAGGTGAGAAACCATTTTTAAGCCACTGAGGATCCGGATCCTTGATTCTTGTTAAATAATAGTTCAGGATCCGTTGTATTGAACGTTTTAATAATTTCCAAAATAATTTTTTTTTTAACTTTACATTTTCGCTATTTGTAATTTTGAATGTTTTTTAAGGGATTTCGGAGTTGATCGCCTAGAAGGTGGTATAGAGACGCCTTGTAATAATATCAGGACAAATCTACAGGTAAGTTCACACCGATCAAACCAAAACTTCAATTTACAGAATACATTGAACTAAAGCATATTTAAAATTATATCTTACTTGTTTTCAAACATAACTCTTTTACTGCAGAATTAAAAGATAATCTAATAAAATTTTGTTCTTTTATTGCATTGCAACCACGTAAGTTTGTTTTCGCCCCCCAGCATGTGTGTAAAATGAAAGTACGTAAAAGCACACCAGTAATTCCGCATTAAATTAACATGTTGCAATTAAAGCTTGTCTCTAATTGAGATTTATGTTTGATGAATGAATTTATTTAAAATAATAAGTCAAGAAGTACGATTAAACTAATGGTTATTTATAATTTATTTATAGCAAGCTGAAGTGCCCGGCGTTGCACGTGAATTTCCAAAAAAAAAATTAATTTTGAACAAGAAAAATTTCGAATTAAAAAAATATTATTTTTGAAAAAATATGTTGTATTTGTTTTAGCCTACTTTCTACTTTAGCCTATTTACTTCCCATGGGTTCCCTCAAAAATGTTCAGCCCATTCGGTCCAGCCGCAGCCCATTCGGTCCAGCCGTTTGGCCAGCTATTGCTAACATCAACTAAATACTTATCATCATTATATATGTGATTAATTAATTGATTGATTGATTGGTTGGGTTTTTGATTGATTGATGTATCTTTTTTTGTAGACAGCCGAATCTCTAGTCTCCGAAATACTACTGCACGAGGACTCGAAAGAGGTAGGAAAATATAGTTTATGTTTTTTTATTAACTTTCAAACCAAGAAATGAAAACAAATGTCACATCAGAATAAACCTGAAATCTCGCAAAAAAATATTTTTGATGGAAAGTGATGATATAATTTTTTTTGCTCTTAGTTACTCCAATTCAGTGGTTATTATTTACATCTGCTTTACAATGAAGTTAGGTGAATTTTACTCTACCTAGGGTTTTCAAGTTGAATTTTGTCTACATAACATCCAGAGCGTAGCGTCGAACGTTTTTTAGGCAAAATTGGCCGCGGGAACGCGTGGTTGAGTAAAACTTTTTTCCGAGTAGTTGTATTTACACAATTTTATTTTATTTTCACGAAAAGTTTACTGAGTGGGATAATATTTTATTTACTTCACTGTCTCATGGTGGAATCATTGTTCTGTAGTGATAGTCAGTGATAGTCACACAAGGCAGTGAACTAATTTTAACCAACATATTCTCGGCAGCTGTTTAAAAGAGTTACGCCCGCTTGCACAGATACTCCTCTGCACTGTGTTGCTAATAATGCATATTCCAGGTAGAGCAAACCCTGCTGGTGAGTAGAGAAGCAAGAGAGAAGGAACTAAAAGATTTCTCTTCACATATTCAAAGAAGGTGGGATTTTTTTCAGCTAAAATTGAAGTAATACGATAAAATGCAATTATTGTTACATTTTGCCGATCTAAATTGATAGCTTGTAAATTGTTGACTGTAACTAGGAATTACATAAAGTAATACCAATACGCACTGCAGGAGATTTTACTTAACTCACTGCAATGCTATAATGCAAGGAAAGTTATTTCAGAGGTGGAAGCATCTTTTTTACTGCAGTGTACTGTCTCTGGGCGGTAATGTAAACACAAAACGGATGTAAAAGCCTGACATGGGAACCATCTTTCAAATAAAAATCAATGAAATATTCTGGTCTAGGAAACTATCATGTGAATTATTAAAATTATCAAAATTTAATGATTTTAACCTACTCGGATACTAAACGAACACTGATGCATCTATTATTGTTTACAAATTCCGCCCAGAGAGAATGCTTGCACAAAATATTCTAAGATAGGTCCAACATAGACCTTGTAAAGATTCAGCGAGACTCTCTTGTCCCTATATGATATAGCTCTGGCCATTCTTCCAAGCACTGAGTGGGCCTTGTTAGCTGCTTCTTGACAGACTTAAGATCTGTGCTTATTATGACACCAAGATCTTACTTCAGAGCTGGTTTTTCAGTTTCTAAAACAAGAGCATACCCTCCCTTGGTGTAATGTGCTCCAGTATTTTGTCTTCCAACTCTACAACTTTATCCAGATCATTTTGTGTCATCAGCAAACTTAGATAATAATTTCAAATTATCTTTCACAGTGAGATCAAATAAGTTGATGAATATGATAAAAATAATGGGCCCGAGGACTGAACTCTGGGGGACCCCTGAAGTAGTTTGTAACCAATCTGAGATTTATCCACTGACAACAACTCTTTGTTGTCTCCCTGTAATCCAGGCCTCTACCCAATTCAAAATATTTCCTTGTACGCCATGAGCTTTCAGAATGGCTTTTAATCTTTGATTTGGGACTTTATCGAAGGCTTTTGAAAATCAAGGTAAATCACATCTACTGCATGACCACTTTAAAAGTTTCCAGATATTCTAATAAGTAGGCAGAGTTTATTCCTCATAAATCCATGCTGTGACTCAAATATGAGTTTATTTTCACTAAGATGTTCAACAAAAGTATCTTTCAAAATTGACTCCATCACTTTACAAGCAATTATTCTGGATTATATTTAGTTACATAGATCATCTTATTTAATGATTCAGAGGTTAAATTAAGTATTCTGGATTATATATAGTTACATATCATCTTATTTAATGATTCAGAGGTTAAATTAAAAATTAAAATACAGGTCTATAATTCAGTGGTACATACTTAGAGATCGACGAGGATCGATAATTTAAAAGTATACTTAAATATCAACGAGCATCGATAATTTAAAAGTTTTGTTTGCTAGATACTTGAAGATCGACGAAGATCGATAATTTAAAAGTATACTTGAAGATCAACGAGGATCGATAATTTAAAAGTTTTGTTTGCTAGATAATTGAAGATCGACGAGGATCGATAATTTGAAAGTTTTGTTAGCTAGATGAGTAGATACTTAAAGATCGACGAGGATCGATAATTTAAAAGTTGTGTTTCCTAGATACTTAAAATCGACTAGGATCGATAATTTAAAAGTATAATTAAAGATCAACGAGGATCTAAAAGTTTTGTTTGCTAGATACTTGAAGATCGACGATGATCGATAGTTTGAAAGACTTAAAGATCGACGAGGAATGAGGATCTATAATTTCATAGTTCTGTTTCCTAGATACTTAAAGATTGGCGAGGATCGATAATTTTATAGTTTTGTTTGCTAGATACTTGAAGATCGACGAGGACTACCGGAGACGGGAGGTTGACCTCGAGATTAAATATGGGCGAGGTGAGCATTGATCCTCGGATCCTTCTCCGTCCTTCTCCGGAGCTTCTCAACATTCTCCAATCCTTCAAAGATCCTCCTAAAAGTCTCAGGTACTATTATTAGAGCATACGGTGGGAGCCAGGTAACAGTGGAATGATTTTCGGCTTCTGTATTTTCTTTATTTTATTATTTGTAATAATTGTAAGAGATTTATTTTAAATGTGCCTTGAGCATTTCTAGGCACATTTCAGTCTTAACACTTAGATATTATGGAATTACTTAATTTGTTTGGACTCCGCCCACCCCCCTAACTACAAATTATTGATTATTGATAAACTTTCTAATCTCTGATTGGTCTATCCAGTTTCAAATAAAAATAAAGTGATTGAAAAATATTGACTTTTTTTATTTGCTAAAAGATTCAGTAAATCTTTAACCCTATCCCTGCTTGGGTACTTGAAAACAAGGATACGCGGGGGGGTGGGGGGCAATTTGAAATATCAAAAATGAAACATCATTGGAAAGCTCTTGTGCTATATTTTAAGAATCTACCAAAAAAAAGCAAATTTGCACAAATTGAATTTTTTATCTTGCAAAATCCAGTTAAATTGTAAAAATATTTGCAAAAAAAATTGTAAAGCCCTTGACCATGCCATTTTGAATATGCAAAAAATTGTGCAAAATTTTAAATAACCTGATGTGTACTTACAAAATACTAAAAATGTGCAAATTTCCTTTGACGGGTTGTTTGCAAATACTTAGCCAAAATTTCTTTGCAGAACTTGTGCAATCCGTTTCCTTATGTCATAGGCTTTCCAAAAAGCTACAAGTTATCAAAATCTGACAACTGAAAGTGGGTCAAAACAGAGATTTAGTTTGTTACAGAAAAATTAGTCATTCAGGCAGTGTGCCTGAGGACTCAGCCAGTCAGTATAAAAGCCCGGTTTCATGCCGGGATCGAGGGCTTTCGGTATTTAGGAAAAGTCAGAAAATTTCAGCAGCCTCAGACCAATACCTTCTAAGTAAATGTAAAAAAAAACTACCCTCTAACCCATTCCCACCTACGAAATCTAGAAACATTTTATCTAGATTAGTTGCCGAGGGCTCAGGGACAGGACTAGATACTTCAGATTTATCATGGATAAGAGAAAATGTTTCTAAGGTTAGACATCTAACAACCTTATTAAAGCAGGGGGGTATTTTTTCTTGAAAAATCTTTTTTTCCTTGAAGTAAGGTGTGTTTTTAGATTTTTTAAGGGTTTTATTCGCTAAAGGGGGGAGAATTAGTGATTTTTTTTAGGAAANTATTTCTCCCAAATCTTAAGAAATAATTTTTTTCCATCCCCGGGGGGGGGGAGGGGTAAATAAATATACATCCCTTATTTAAAGTTTCCTGCCTGGATCATGGAGGCATTTCCCTTTGATATTGGATACGTTACGAGCGAATGAGGATTCAGGAGTGCTGTCGCTTATTTCATTGAACGACGGATTGTCCTTTAATGATTATAATTATAATAAAGGAATTTTTTATATTATTTGAAATTACAACACACATAATACCACATTTTTCTTAATACTACAACCAAATCCATTTAGAAGGGGAGGGGAGGGAGGGGCAGGTTATACTTCACATCCCCCCGCAAAAAAAATCGATGAAAATCATCCTGAACCCTTTTGCCCTAGTACTTTATCCAGAAAGAATGGCCGTGTTGGGCCGGAATTAAGTTCTACTGGGTGCATTTCTTATAGAGTTTGGGTCTCTCAAGATCGGGTGATTTTCAGATCTTTAATCGTATAGCTAGTTGAATCTGAGCTTATCCGTCCCTCTCCTTTCATCTCCGCCCGGGGGTGTCTTTTTCAATATATATGTCAATAACTAAACATAAGATCAATTAAGCTTGTTTGTTTAGGAAGAACAGAGGAGTTTATATGGTTTACTGGTTGCTTAGCTACCTACGGTACACGCCTTCGGTTCGGTAAACTTTACAGACACTCTTTTGGTACAGACACACGCACATGACGTTTCCGCCCCCTGCTTTCAACACATTTCGATGAGGTGAAGGGAAGGGGAAGTGGAAGGGCGCTATTGTTTATCAAAACTCAAAAGAAAACCAATGTTCAGTTATGTATGTTGGTTGCTTTAGGCGGAACGGGAATACAGGAAGATGACCCAGAATATCAGAGAAAGTAAAACTGTGGAGAAACCACTTTCTCTTCAGTTCAAAGAGGTGAAAGTTTAAGTGAAAGTATTTAAGTAATGTCAGTAGTTCTGTGTCTGAAAACTTTCCTTAAAGATTAAAGAAAGTGTAAGCGTAATTTCACGTGACCCTCCATGCAAAGAAGACAATGCCCTATTTACAACGAAACCCTGATCTGATCAATGAAATGGAAGATATTGTCGTTTTTTAGTTTTATATGTGCTTTAACTTTTATTTTTTTCTGCATTAGAAATGCCCAATGTCACTTTTGTATATAAACCACAATTGAAAAAATCAGTTTTCCAAAGTATAAACAATAAACATCGATATCTAATTTATACTTGATCAGACATAGTTTTTAAGGGTACCGTTGTGAATCGGACATTGTCATCTTTGCATGGAGACTGCAGAGTCACTTTAAATTACTCTTACAGTCCCTTTAAATATCCAGAGGCCAAAACTTTTTATTTTCAATTTGTGACTTTTCCTTTTGAAAGTGTTTTTCTCGGAGCAGGAGACTTTTGAATGACAGAAACTGATATAAATTATATCAGAATAGAAATTAATCCGTCTTATATTAAATCTCTGAACTTAAAAGTCAACGAGAATTTTTTTTTCATACCATTATGTTATTAATGTATTTCTTTTTATGAAAGTTTAAAAAGGATGAAATCCTAGACTTTTTAATCTCTGACATCTTCGTAAATTTTCTTTTGATTTTGCTCACGTTAGTTAACAATTATAAAAAATCTTTATTTCGAGACAAGTTAACCATGTGGTGTTGTTGTAGTTGAACTCTATTCTGATGATGCTGGTCCAGTTCGTGATCTCTGTCCTCGCCTCCTTCACCTTCGGATACCTAGCTCCCTACTATCTATACGGCAAGGAGGACCCTGCCGCCAGGATCCTTTTCGGATTTATCGTCGCATTTTTCGTCGGGATCGCCGATTTATATTTCGTTATTCGAGAGCATCTTAGTGAAGACGGAATACGGCTCACCAAAAAGATGAATTAATAATTAAAACATGCATTTTTAATTTTTACTAGATGTCAAGTCAATCTTTCAAAGTTTTGTGATATTTGATTTTTATTAATTGCTCTCGTTATATTTTTATCATATTATTGTCCGTCGTTTTATTTATGAGAAATGAAACTTCAAAAATTTACAGATTTTTCTATTGAATTACCATTGCGCTATTTTTCGCTAATGTTAACATTAAACGTTAATTATGATTTCAGAATTGAAGATGAACGGCGTGTTTAGCGGGGCTGGACCCCCTGACCTCTATACTTGGAAGGCAGGCTGACCAGCTCAATATCTTAACTAAGGATGTAATTAAGTGGTTCTCAATTTAAAAAGAAATGCATGTCCGATTCGCATGAGGCGACCTCCATACTTTTATTGAAGCAAACATTATTACGATTTATTTTTTTTCTGTCTGAAAACTGATTATTTCAATGTCTGTTGCTTAGGAACAAGATATAAGAACAAATTCTTCCTCGTTGTATTTAAGATAAAGGTTAGACAATGTTAATAAATGGCATTTACCTGTAAAAACTGAATCTCCCTTTTCACCTTTCACCTGCTACACTTTCAGACCGGATTTGGTTTGCTTTTATTTGATTGGTTGGATGGATGGTTTTTTAGTTGGTTGGTTTGTAGGTTGGTTTGTAGTTTGTTTGACAGGATTATTGATTGGTTGGTTGGATGGTTGATTGATCGTTTTGTTGGTTGGTTGGTTACTGGTTGATTGATTGTTTGATTGATTGATTTGATTGATTGATTGATTGATTGATTGATTGATTGATTGATTGATTGCTGCATGTCTTGAACTGTGTCCGACTGGTAGGATGTAACTGAAGAGTTTAAGACATCTTGTGAAGAACTAGAGTTGGGGGAACTTCTTCACGACGATATGTTTGGTTTGTTTGAGGTAAGTTTGACTTATTTTTCAGGGGTGTATATATTTTTTTCTAGGGGTTTTTCGTTAAATTGGGGGAAATT